GTTTTTCTTTGTTAGCTATGAATACTCGATAGCAAAGAGTAGAACATTGTCAAATGCACTGCAACTGCGCAGAGTTTTCATTGTGACTTTGTTTAACCAACTAATATGTTTGCTTTCTCGACTTATTAAACTCATTTTATTTTATACAGTATATGTACGTGCGAGTGTCTATCATTGTTTCGAAGTGAACGTTTCATTTATTTCCTTCTTTCTTTCTTTCATTCTTACTTACATTCATTCTCTTTTCTTCTTACTCTCATTGTGTCTGTGTCGCGCATATTTACATTAAAACAGCGCGTACTGCTTACGTCTTTACTTACTATTACTATTTTGGATTTTCTATCAATTTTTTTAATAACACGTAAAATCCCGTTGTCAGAGCAGTACCCCAGTTTTTCGCCGTACACGGTGTAATTGAAAAATCTTCAGTCCCAATGACTGGCTAACGATTGAGAAGAAGAAAAACAACTTTGCCTCGTGTCGCCAATAATTAGCTAATAAATAAACTCGACTCCCGAATCTACCTCTAATGCAAAAACAATCACAGATCGTTTTAAATAAAATTATTTGCGTTTTATTGCGGCGCAATAAGTAAATTCATCGAGATTGGTATGCTCAAACGCTTAAGTACGTGGATCTAGAGATCCGAGGTGAACTATACATATTGATCTATAAATATTCAATTTATATTCACCTATTGTACTAGAAACTGGAATTCACACTTCGACATTGGGATTGTTTTTATGAAGCTTACACATACATATACCGAGTTGCTTAAAGTCTTATATCAGCCGTTTCACTGTTTACAGTAGATAGGACGTTTATGTAGATAGGTTCTATGTGCAGAGAAACTGCTTTTTATAAATCGAATTTTTTTACCACTAAACATGCATCGCTATACATAATGATGATCGCATCTTAACATTTGTATATATTTAACAATTTTAAAACTTTCATATGGTTGCGTGCGTGTGTGCGCGCGTGTCCCTACCAATTGTGTGCATAAGTATGGGCATAAAAATGTAATATCCTGCAGTTCATTTTGACTTGTGTTACTTATTAATATGTACGTTTGTTGCTCATCGTTATTAATTACTCGCACATTCAATTTTTATTATCATAATCATTATCATTATCGTCATCCATATAATTATAATAATAATAACAATAATAATAATTCTACTCATATTTATTATTATTTATTGTTATTATTGTCGTTTAGTTAATATAATTTACTTAATATAGTTACTGATAAGTATTTTCAATTATATTTTAAACGACTTTGTTAATCATATCAAATAATTATTTAAATGCATAATATCATTGCACATTAACACATTATGTGAAAGAACGAATTTCAGTAATTTGAAATAATATGTTTTTATCAATTTAGTTACCTAATAGTAATTTTTGCGAATCACAAGTACCTCATATAATATTTTTTTTTTTTTTTTTTTTTTTTTTTTGAATATACAAATTTCAATATACGCATACAATATTCTAATAACTTTTCTCTACTATATACATATTATATTTTTATTGATACAGTCTAATATTATTACAGTCTATCTTAATTGATAAATTATTTATTATTGACTTATTATTCAAAATTTCAATCTTCTTCAGTAATTTGAATACTCCGTTTATACATTTATTTTCAATTTTATTTAAAGTATTCTATCATTCATTTAGAAATTAATAATGAATGCTAAAATACGGATTACTAACATTGAATTTAAAATTAACAGATATATTTCACTCTCTTTAGAAGAAATACATCAATTTCAATTAATCAATTAATAATAATAAAAACTTTGGGGATTTTTTTTTGTGTAACTTTAACGTTATACAAACATTTCTCCAGCCCCCTTTAAAAAGTATTTTGTATGATAAAAATATTTTTAAATCAAGGGAATATGATCAATATTAATATTATATTATTAAAATATAAATTAACACCGAACTAATAAAAATATTTTAGCGTAATTTTTTAAAAATTAATTTTCATATACGTGTTATTGCTGTGTAATTTTCATTATGAGAAAATCATCTTTTCATTAAAGATTTCCTTGTTGTTTGAAATTGTCGTTACTTCGAGTTCATAGGTACATAACAAAATATTTATAGAAGCGAAGATAATTGAAATACCGGTCGTATATTTAGAAAAAAAAAATCAACAAATAATAAACTTTTATTAATAAAGTTTTTAAACAAATGAAATAAAAAGAAAACGATGTAATAATAATAATTATGTATTGATACACGTTTATCTATAATTTGTACAACGTAGAAACCTCTTTCATCCCCTATGTCTTTCGATCATTATAAAAATTATGTTTAAGTCTGCTTTTCATATGTATAACAATTTTTAAAATCTGTATATATTTAACTACACGTACACATGGAAAGACAAGCGTTTCCTTTCTCGGTTAAGGACTGTTGCGGACCATTTTTATAGCAAAATATGAAATAAGATATCGTAATATCATCCACAGCGAATTAATTAAAATAAATGGTGTTGTATATATATTGTAAGTAAAATTATTAGGCAATCTGAGGAAAAATATAAATTCTAAACAATCAAATGAAATGAAACAAATAAGCTTGTAAAAATTTTGTATAATTCGACTGTGAAGTATATGTCTGTCTATACGTGCATGTCTCCACACATCTATGCATATATTATATATGTATGTTATACGGATATAAAATACGTAAGTTGCATGCGTGCTCTTGTCACCTTTTTGCACGATCATCGAGTTGTAACCAAGTCATCGAGTTGTTCTCGGTAAGACGCATTAAATCCATACCCATTAGAGCCTTGAGAATGAGTGACTTCCGATGGAAGATATTATAATGTAATTTATAATTTATTAATTAATTGTAATTTATAATATATAGGATCTACCGTAGGACGAAAAGACGCGCAAAGAAATGGAAATGCTTTGCTGCGACGCTTCTTCGTTTAATGTTTTTTTTTTATATATATTTATTCTTTTTCTTTTAAAGCTAAAAATACTGGTAAAAAAATGAAACCAAGCATAAGTATCACTTTATCACATACTTTACTTTTATACGTAATTGTTGTCGTAGTTTGAAAAGTACCAGAATATATGTCTACTACCGTTATTAAATTAATTAAATTATAGCTTTAGCTTATATGTAATTATGTCTTTTTTTTTTCAACTTTCTCTCTCTCTCTCTCTATCTCTCTCTCTCTCTCTCTCACAATCTAAATTACCTGCAATGAATTTGTACACTCTATACACATATGCAAACAAGAAATAGCGTCATTACTACGGATGTAGTTAGCGAAAATCTGAGAGCTCCAATAGCAATCGGGATGGCTCTTCTCGCGGGCTCATTCCAACATCTCTCGATTATCGTGCAAGTACTCCCAGCAGTGAGTGCAGTGTCCATCCTAGTGTTAAAATAGGTACGTATTCAGACTAGATAAGTCCGTTATGCGTGCTCGTTTGTGCCAGTTTATAACGTCCTTAACGGAATTTACCTCGACGTACATCCCTACCGAGCAATTTCCACTCAAAATCGCCTATTTAACGCTGCCCTGATGTTTTATACGCTCGTTGGCCGAAGGCTATTGTGTACATGACTGTGTATGTAATTTCATTATAAATGAAAGAACAAGTTAATAAATAAATAAAACTATATATATAGTTAAGCACGAACATATACATTCATGGCATGAGCGATTAACGTCTTTTAATGCTAATAAGTATTCTCATTGATAATGAGTCTGATTCTCGCAGAATCAGTTACCCACGTATGTGTTGTTTTATTCTTTGCAATTATTTTGTTAATACTAATAATACGTATAGGTTGTAATAACTAGTAGTTTATGTACTATAAATTGTATATTATGCAATAGAATTCATTCCCACGCCTTCCACGATATACACAGTTAAACATTGTTATAAATGATAATTAATCGGATATAGATTAAAATAATTAATAACACTTCATCTTTGTTCATTCTTTTAACGCGACCTTTGTCGAGATCATGAAAAAAAAATTTATGTCTATAAAAGAGAAAGAAAGAAAAGAAAGGAGTCATCATTTCGTGTAAATACCCACTGAACTTTGTTATTGAAATTTGGATTAAAACATGTCCTCGGCATTGAGCAGATCTCACGCAATAGACTGGGTTTTCGATCCAAGTCAGCAACTTTTCAATGACGTATACATATAGAAACAAAGTTCCACTTATCCGAAGCGCGAATCTCCTTGATAAATTAAAGCGACAGCAAAAGAAGCAAAAAAAAAGAGAGAGAGAAAATCATCGTATCCTCATAGTTTGAGTAATACGGGTCACGTATGCCCGGATACCAAAGAGAGAGCGCAAATACACAAAAACAATGTCCGGAGCAGAATTTAGTTAGAAATCTACGCTCTCCTTCTTTCCTCCATTAAATCTGCATAGCACAAAACGTCAAAGGATATAAGTAAGAATAAGCAAAGAAAAGCGATAATGTAAATGCTAAAGTGCTGAAATTCAAATGAAAGAAAGCCGGCGTGCTTATGTGTGTTACTGACCTTGAACGTATACACACATAAATATATATATATATATATATACAATTATATCATTCTATAATTACATTTCTATCAATATATCTCCACTTCTTTTTCGCTCTCTTCTAACTGATTTTCTCTTTTCCCCATCCTTTCTCCCTTTTTCCATCTTCTCTCTGGTCCCCCTCCATCCCCCTCTCCATCACACAGATCCTCTCCCTTTCTATCACTCTATCTATCTCTCTCCTCTCTCTCTCTCTCTCTCTCTCTCTCTCTCTCTCTCCCCCTCTCTTTGACTTTCTCTGCCTGTTTATCTGGCTGGATTCTTTCTATCAGCTCTAGCTCTCTCCCTCGCTAAATCATTTTCTCTCACACTGTCTCTGTCGAAATTTCTCGTCTTTACGCAAGAGCCCCTCCACATATGACTCAGAATGTCGGCCGTGTTCCGATTGCTCTTCTCGTTGCAGCTTCGGGTTATCCGAGCGTTCAGGTCGACTCTGGAAGACCTAGAGGAGCGTCGCTCCGTCCATAGTTTGCACAGCTTGCACAGTATGCGCAGCTCGCGCAGTCACACCGGGCCCCGCCCCCTCTCAGACTTCACGTACATTGACGAGGATCCGGCTAATAAGGCGAGGAATCAGCAACATCAGCAATCGGCCATTACGACGGCCAACAGCGCCAATAACGAGGCCGGACGGGGCGCCACTTCGCCTCTGCTACTCCACGTACCAGGCACCGGCAATCACCATCACCACCTCCACCATCACCATCACCATCATCATCATCAGCATCACCAGCATCAGCAACAGCAACAGAACAACGGAAGGCAACAACAGCAACAGGAAGACGCTAATAACGCGGTCAATTCCTTAAGATCAAGCGCCAATAATCTCGTGCTCCCAGAACTGCCCAAATTTGTCCACGAGACCTGTATCTAAACAACAACGATCATTCGTTCGTTATCTCTCTCTCTCTCTCTCTCTCACACACGCTCTTCTCTCGTCTCTCTCATCTCTCTCTCTCTCTCTCTCTTTCTCTCTCTCCTCTTACACGCACACGCACCGATACACACACGCACGCACATACGCACATATACAAATTTCGCTCTGACTCTCTCTCTCTCTCTCTCTCTCTCTCTCTCTCCCTCCCTTTCTTTCTCCTTCTCGCTCGCTATTTTTCTATCATAGGCCTACTGTATCTCGTTATTTCTTCTGATTAAAGAATATCCTGTTATCATCTGTATAACTAATAGTTTCGCATTTCTACTTCTCATCCTAATAGACAAATTCTTTGAAATCATTGAGAAAGGACGTAGATCCTCGCACCTTCTCTACCATCTTTTATGGCTGCTACATCTTGTGATACTGTGTATAATACGTCTCCTGGAATGTACGTCCTTTCTCTTTTAATCTCCACTACCTCTGACTTTCCCTCTCTGGTCGACGTTCTAGGATTCATCGTTTACTACTATCACTTTTGACTCGTGACCCTCTATTCTTATGCTTTTCATTCTCCTCTCTGTGTAGTACATTATGACAGCCGTGGACGAAGCAAAAATGAGACGGAAATGAAAATCTCATACCGAAGATGCTTGGACCTATGCTTTTCGTAGAACTTGTTTGTGTCTCTTCTATTACCATTGTCTTTGTGTTGTTGAAAATTACGATCTCACGCTTGGAAAGAAAATTGCGATCCAAATTTTTTTCGGCTTTGCTACTGCAAGATATTTAGTTACATTTCTCTTCAAGCGGAAAACGATTTATCACCCCTTCTCTTCGCATGCGGTTAAATACTTCGATCGTTTAACGTAACTCTAAACTTTAACGTAAAAGCTCGTCTTGTCTTTCGCGACTCATCATTGTACTTTATTTATTAATTTGTCTCAAGTCGTATCCACTGTCTTTCATTACACGTGTTGTCTATGTATCACCATATAAAAGATCTTAATTATGTACTGGAGAGTACAGGGCCGTAGCGTTAAACTATTCCTTTTCTCGCGTATTTTTTTACCAAATTTTCGCTGCATCATATCTGCCTTTGTTAGACTCCTATGTGTGTGTAATTTATTGTGATCAACCGACAGACACATTTCTATTCATCACAATTAAGCAAGACAAATATATAACAATATTATCAAGGAGAACAGGGTGTTGAGTCTCTTCTAATCTCTGCGCTTTAACAACAGAGATTAAAAACACAAAAGAAGTAACAAGACTCTTTTTGTATGTGCCTATAAACACTTGCGTATATTCATAATTATACATAAATAACGACCATCAATTGCTTATTTTATAGATAAATTTATAATATCAAAACTAAATTTGATTAACCATTGCCAACATTCTGATTAGCCACTACAACCCACGATAACGCAATACTACTAAGAATTATTGTATTGACTATTACTACTACTACCATTACCACTACCACTACTACTACTACTACTACTACTACTACTACTACTACTACTACTACTACTACTACTACTACTACTACTACTACTACTACTACTACTACTACTACTACTACTACTACTACTACTACTACTACTACTACTACTACTACTACTACTACTACTACTACTACTACTACTACTACTACTACTACTACTACTACTACTACTACTACTACTACTACTACTACTACTACTACTACTACTACTACTACTACTACTACTACTACTACTACTACTACTACTACTACTACTACTACTACTACTACTACTACTACTACTACTACTACTACTACTACTACTACTACTACTACTACTACTACTACTACTACTACTACTACTACTACTACTACTACTACTACTACTACTACTACTACTACTACTACTACTACTACTACTACTACTACTACTACTACTACTACTACTACTACTACTACTACTACTACTACTACTACTACTACTACTACTACTACTACTACTACTACTACTACTACTACTACTACTACTACTACTACTACTACTACTACTACTACTACTACTACTACTACTACTACTACTACTACTACTACTACTATCACTGCCACTACTATTACTAACACTATACAGCTACTACCATTACTATATAGCTATTACTACCACCATCACCTACTGCTACTAATACAACTACTACTAATACTAATACTATCACCGATACTACCACTAATAATAACAATAATAATAATTATAATAACAACAACAACAATAATAATAATAATAATAATAATAACAACGATGATGATGATGATCATTCCTTAGAAAAACGACTTTACTTTTTCATGGGGGAACTTCAAAATGCTTAATTGGAAATATTGTATAAAAAAAATCTTTATGAAACTCTCTTTTGCTTGTGTAATAGGTAGTATAACGTGTATTGAATACCTTCAACTATATTGTTTTTCACTACTTCCCTCACTCTTAGTCTTCTTTTGCTTCGTCACTTATGCTACTCATCAAATTAATGTAAATAAATTCGACTGTGGACAAGAAAATAAAGACCTCGCTTTTATCCCACTAATTATAGCGCATAATCTCAATGATTTAGAACGAGATAGATATCGCTTATACAAACATATAAATAAGAAAAACAATCAAAGTTATGCTTGTATTGCCTGTCTGTTCTGCCTGTTTGCTTGCTTTAACTGGGTTTGGATATGAATGCGTCTGTCCGTGTTGACAATCAATTCTCCCATTTACACATTATCATACCTAATCTTAAATAATATATATACACACGTCGATACGGCTAGCCGCACCAACTTAATATGTTCACTTTTTTTTATACAATGCCAATAAATAATTAAAAGAGAAATTTTTTGTAAACAATACATAAGATGCTAGCAAAATAGCCGTTGTTAAATGAGAGAAAAAGAAATGCCGTAAGAGCGCGTCGTTGACTATTCGATGGATGAGAGTATAAAATAAGCAGCATCAAGCCTTAAAAGTAAATTTCCTATTAAAAAAAAAAATAAGCTGCTTTTCCCATTAATTTCATATGTTTTAATATAATTTTCGAAACTCTTACTGTTTAACTGCTACTAATACTTTCCTAATACGACTCGAAAATATTACCAAGATTAGTAGAATTATCGCGTTCTATAGATTTTTTTTTTTATTATTATTATCTCTTGTTTATCTCGGTTTCTTTTTTCAAATCTGGCCCCTTGTATAATTGTATGAAAAAACAACACTGTACTTAAAAAGCTCTTAGTTCAACGCGATAACGTGTAACTATTCTCTGCCAATTATTTTGTGGACCAAGAAATCGATAAATTTAATAATCTTTTACAAATAAAAAGTTCGTTCACTCGATCATTAACAAAGTAGTCAAGGGTATGAAATCAAATGGAACTTTGCTTGTAAACTAAACTGCTAAGCTATATTTTTAACTACTAAAAACTTTTGCACCGAATTTGGTTTCTTCGTATGATGATGATAATGTAATGCTCCCCGATATCATGTGTTTCTTTGTTTCTTTGTTTTTGTTTTTTTTCTTTCATATTGTATTTTAACACATTTTTTTTTTTAAATAAAACAGCGATTTTTTAACGTTATAATAATATGTTGACGACGGTTCCGTGGAGAACGTTGATTGGGCCTCCCAGTTTCAATTTAATAATGTAAGTTTTTACTATTATTATTATTATTATTATTATTATTATTATTATTATTATTATTATTATTGTTATTGTTATTACATATTTTTAAATAATCGTAACCACTGTGTACTATTTAATAATTAATTGTTCACTACGTTTTTTTTAAATTATTGTTAGCAATATTATTATTATTATTATTATTATTATTATTATGAGGATTATGAGGATTATAATTATTGACCATATGCTTTTGCAAAATAATTTTTATAAATTAACTTTGTAAGCCACTCGAGACTATCAACGATTCGTGTTCGCTTTGCACTTTTCGACTAATCGTTGCAGCTCTTCTCATTGTAGAACTTTTTGAGATCAAGTTGATATTTATCAACTTGCCGCGCTTATTGAGATTATTGTACATGTTTTAGACGATAAATGAAAAACTTACAATGTTAATAACTATGAATTATTGTTAATAAGAAATATGAAAATTGTAGGAGTACACTTATGGATTATGAATAGAAGAAGAAAAAAACTAGTAAAATTATAATTAAAATTGTAAGGGCATAAAATCTCTCTCGCTCTTCGAAAATGCAAAGCGAATACGCGTAGTCAAATAATTTGAGGGCAATCTGTACCCTGAAAATAAAAAGATGAATCTGCGCGCGCGGCTTCTAGAGTATTGAGTGAGTCGCATGCACTGTACTTATTGTCATATATACATATATGTATTGTTAAATTAAAAATTTTTTTATCGTCCGAATAACGATGACGATATGTTATAAGTTATATAAATGAAATTATTGCTATTGAGAGAGAAAAAAAAAGTTGCACGAATTGCCAGTATGATAATTTTTATTCGTCTAATAATCTATAATAGAGATAAAGAATTTGAATATTTCTGATTCTTCTTTTTCTTTTTAATTATTTATGCGACGTTTTGAGATTTTTTTATGACGTGCTTTTAATTGCTGTATTTTATCGACCTCATTGAACAATCATTGTAAAGACGACTCCTGCGCGTCATAATAATAGACTTATGCGTGCTAACGAAGATCCAGAAAAAAAAAACAAAAAAAAAAACAAACAAACAAACAAAAAAACCGCAGGATTCGCACGTTAAGATTCCTCTAGGTATCTCAATTACATTTAAATTAATGAAATAGTAGTGTAAAGGAGAAAGAAAATTTTTATCATGATGTATTTGATGTTTCAATCGACAGCAGTTTAAGTAAGAAACTGAAAAATATGAAAAACTTACAATAAAAGAGAACAGAGGAACGAAAGAACGAAACAAATCAATAAAAAGTAATTCACACGATAATTAGAGCAGCCGCTTGGCTTTTGAATTAAAAATTGAAGTTAGCGAATAAATATAGTTACCTACAGA